CTGTCTTTGGGAATCTCCGTCTGGGGCACGAAAGCATGATGCACGTGTCTGCAGAAGGTGCTGGCACAGCGAGGGTCCTGTGCCGTTCCTTCCTGTCTGATGTTCTTCTCTCCCCACCTCACATGGGGAAACTTCAGAGTCTGGGGCTAGAAGTGAGTGGCCCAAGATCACACAGCTGGGCAGGGACTCCGCCTGTGCCCTGTCTTTCAGTTTCTCTCCCTATCCTGCATCACACGCTGCCCCAGTCACCACCCTGAGTGCCAGGGAGAGAGCAGGACCGCTGGTGTCACCACAGCAGGGCTGAGCCTCGGGGTGGGGGCAGCTGGAGGGATAGAGAAGGCCGTGCAGACCTTGCACCCAGGGAGGGGGCCTGGAGTGCTGCGGGCCAGCCTTCACCCCATGGGGCTCCATGACATCAGCAGAGGGAAAGGTGCCCAGAACACCAGCCACAGCAGGGTCAAGCCCAGGTCCACCTGCAGAACTGGGAAAGGTGCTGGTGCTGTGTTAGGTGGTGTCCTCTCCTCCCTCCAAGGGATGTAGGGTCTGTAGACACACACACACACACCCCTTGCATGATAAACTCCATCCAGAGCGGAAACCCCAACCCTGAGCCAGAGGATCAACAGAGAAGGCAGGGAGGGTCTGTTCTGGGCAGGTGGCCCCTCTTTGACAGCCCTGAACCTCCAGGAGCCGGAGCAGCAGGCAAGGTTAGGGGAGTAGGGAAGCAGCCCCTTCTGGCAGCTGGCTGATAAGGCGCTGCCCTCCATGGGGGGCTGGAAGGCTGCAGTCACCAGGGGCAATCAGGATGGACTGCGAGGAGCCAGGAGTGGTTTCCCACATGCATCCTCCCCCTATAAATAAATAGATCCAAGTGCAGTCACCAGGCCTCCCCGTGGGCAGCCAGCAGCTCCCAGCCCGCTGCAGCTCGGGCGCCAATCAGCCTCTCATCGCCTCTCCCAGCTGGAGCGGAATTTAATCCACCGGGCCCCTCTCCACACACACTGGGGCTCCTTTTGATGTCGTCTTTATCTCCCTTTCCAACAAAATCGCCCCTCCACAGCTCCGAGATGTCTCCTGCCTCCTCCTCTGCCCCTCCCGCTCTATGGAGGCAGCCCCCAGTAGGACAAGGGCACAGAGGAGGCCTGGGGGCCCCAGCCTGGCCTTCACTCCCTGACCGTGGCCTAAGGAGCAGGCAGCAGACCTCTGCCCTGCAGCTCAGAACGGAGCAGGATGGACCCCAGTACAAAGGTTTCCCCTGCAGCCAGCGGTGTGGCAGGAACAGTTAGTTGCCCTTTCCAGCCTCAGTTTCCTTCTCTGAGAAAGGAGTGGACTACGCTGATGTGAGTCCCTGGTGAAGGCTGGTACAGGTTCTGACACACACAGTTTGGCGGAAGGAAGCTGTGTGATTAAAGGTTCCTGGCTCTGACTGCCATCATAAGGGGTTTGCATGTTTGCCTTACACACACTCCCATCCCCGGAGCTGAGTGTCACACCCAGGTCTAGGAAGACACAGCCCTCTGGGCACATTCTGGGAGGGACAGGCTGAGCACTGGTGATCAGGGGATTCTGGGACAGCAGCACACATGGTCCTGACAACTAGTGTCTTACCTAGGCCAACTCCCACCCGCTGGAGGCTGAGCAGATAAAAGCACCGGGGTCCATTCACTGAGACCCACAGAGCTGTCCTGCAGTGGGCTGGAGCTCACCCAGGGCTTGTCCCCTCTGGGTGCCCTGTCCAACCCAGTCCTTACCCTGTAGCCACACTGAGCGCACATCAGGTATCACTTCAGTTCTCCACGGCTGACCTTGATGGTTGGGACAGCCCCTCCCCCACATGCTTCTGCACTACATCTGTCCGTTCAGACACAGAGCAGTCCAAAGTGCTTCCTCTCAAACTCACCTCTTCCCTGGCATCACCTGTCTCGATGGCTCTCACCCTAGCAGCACTGGGATCCCTAGCATACTGGGCCCATCCCAGACCTTCCAATGCATGGCTCTAAAACAGGAGTCTAACCAGTTCCTGGGGCAGAATCTCAGGCCTGGGTTCCAGCGCCCTGCAGCCTGGTTTCCTGGGTCTACAGTGTCACCTAATAATGACACTCCCCTGATTGCTCTGTGCCTCTCCCTTGCTGGCCCCTTCTTGGTCGCTGTGGGTACCTCGGTGCTCCATGGCCCCACCAATGTCCTCCCTGGCTCTGCAACACAGCTCCCGGGGGAACATGGGAAAACTTCATCTGCCTGGGTCCTGTATCCAGGAGACTCTGACTCTGGCCCTGGGCCTCTGCATCCCACACTGGCAATTCCAGTCTTTAGGCCACCCTCCTCCTGGGCCCTCAGTATCCTCCTGCTCCAGCACTTGGAGGCGTCCCCACTGCTTATGGAATTGACCGAGTCCTGAAGGTGTCACCTACCTGTGTCTTTCTTTGCAATCTCTCAAGCTTCCCTCCCGGACCCTTGCCAGCAGGGATAGATTACTATTCATTCCCCACCCTGCACCTTTGCTCAGACCAGTGGCTCTCAAAGGGTGGCCTTTGCTGCCATTGCCACCACCTGGAACTTGGGTCAGAAATGCACATACACAGGCCGCAGCCCAGACACTGCAGTGCTCAGGTTAACAAGCCACTGAGGGAACTCTGAGAACTTGGTGCTTAGGGTCACCTCCTCCTGTGGAAGCCCTTCTCTGCTAGTCCAAAAACCAGCACCTCGCCAGGCATGCTAGTAATGCTGTAATCCCAGCATTCAGAAGGTTAAGGCAGTAGGATTGCCACAAATATGAGGCCAGCCTGGACTACATAGCAAGATCCTGACTCAAAAAACCCAAACAAAACAGAAACAAAACCCTGTACCTTCCCACCTTCCCAGCACTGCCCCTCAGGGCTGCCCCTCCTGAGACTCCCTGGAATGCACAGTCACCATTTCCTTGGAGACTGAAATCACTGACCATGTGGCCAGCACGGCCCTTGCTGCAAAGGGAATGCGCACCCAGGCCTGAGCTCTGCTTCCTCTGGCCTGGGAGGCAGCAAGCCCTGCCTGGGTGCTAGACCTGCGTCCCGCTCCCCACCCTGCTGCCAGCTCCCTGTGCTTCCTTGGTGACTCATTCAACCTCTCTGAACTGAATGTCCATCCCCTGTGACTCTTGGGAAGAGGGTCACACAGGGTGACACATGAGCCTTAGCACCTGCTGTGTGCCAGCTCTGAGGTGGATTTTCATTGTGCAAGGCACAGTCTGTGCCTCAAGGGCTCTGAACATTTCAGAACCCCGCATCCACTGAGAGAAATGAGCAAGTCGTGGTACTTCCCAAGTGCCTGGTCCTGTGCCTAGCAGTAGGTACTTGATAAATGTGTGCCATGTTGCTGTTGTCCTGGTGAGCAGCAGCTTCTAGGTGGACAGAAAGCAAAACATAGTTTTTGTTTTGCTTTGCTTTGTTTTGTGATACTGGGGGTTAACTTAAGACAGTCTTTACATCTTCATTAACCTTACTAATCACTCAATTGCACAGGCCGGACCCAAACTTGCAATCCTCCTGCCTCAACCTCCTTGCTGGGACTATAGATGTGCACTGTGGCTAGCTTTGAAACGTAGTTTTAAGTGAACATATCTGTCCCAAAGCAATGTGCATAGGGTGCCCCAGTGCCTGCCTCGCCCTGTGTGAGGGTAGATAGATATCACATCGAATGGATTTCCCCAGAAGGAGGCCATGCACAGGCTGTGGTGGCTGCCTAAGGGGAAGCTTTTGGCTCCGGCTCTGGTAAGAGAGTGTGGAGTGGGAGCCTTTTGAGTTACTGGAAGACTTTTTTTACATCTCTGCACACCAAATTGCACGTGTTTCCCGTGTTAGGAAAACAGTAAAGTCATGGCCTGCTCTGGGCCACTTCCTGCACGGGTTTCTCCAAGCCCCTGAGCACAGGGTGCAGGGATGTGGTCGTCACCACCCAGCCCATGGGTGTGGCTGCCCAGGCGGGGAGAGCCCTCCTGCCCTCCTGGCCCTGCCCTCTTCCCGGGTCCTTGCTGTCGCTCCTCTCTCTGCTGCCTAGCTCGTCCCTCCTTGGCTCCCCAAAGCAGTGGCCCTGGAAGTGGATGGGGCTGCTTCCCGGAATGGGGTGATGTCCTGACCCTGCACCCGGACTCACTGTCTTCTCTGGTTCCTTCCTGCCACTCTCGGCTCCTTCTCCTTGTCTCCATGCTCTTTGCCTGGCGGCTCCCACTGGCAGAACTTGGTAAGTGAGCCTGAGAGGGGTAGGGCAGGGCTGGGGGTTGGGTGGCACTGCGGGGAGGGCGCAGCCCAACCACCTCCAGCCTTGGGGGCCTCCAGGTCCTGTAGTCCACGGGCCAACGTGCAGGGGAGGGGGAGGTGTTGTGTCACTTTTCAGAGCTGTCACACTCTACTGATTTTGGCTATTAGTGCCCCTTGGGGCATTTAATTGGTCCCCTCTGTCTGCCTGGATGGGTTCCATGTCAAAAGGAACAGAAAATTCTGCAGCCCAATAGACCCCAAACAATGTCCCCAGCAGGTCCCCTGCCCGGGAGCCCCACTACCCTCCTGGATCCCAGGATCAGCAGGAGAGGGCTCCTGGAACTCAGCTGTCACTCCTGTGAACCCTCTGCCAGGGCGGGCAGGGCCGCTTGATTACTCTCTTCCCCCTCTCTCTTAGGACCTGTCCCCTTGTCTTTCCTCTGTCCCCCCCTGGGCCTTATGCTGGCAGTTTCCCCTCTCTCCAGGGGAGGTTCCAGCATCAGAAAAAGCAAGCAAGAGACAAGAGCCAAACCACAGAGGGCACACCTTGGGCCTCATATAGGGTGATGAAGGCAGAGACTTCCCAGTCCCTGACACAGGCAGGAGATGGGGCTGGGAGTGGGCTGGCATCACCTAGGAAGGAAGGGGCCTCCATGGCAGGATGGGCAAGTCCTCTAAGCCTGTGCCTCCTCCACCACCCGTTCCGTGCCCTCCGTCCCTCCACCCCGTGCCTCTCTGACCGCTGTCTGTCTGCTCTCGCTCCAGGGCCTGAACAGCATGTTTGAGGTGTACCTGGTGGGGAACAACTCCCACCACTTCATCATCTCCCCCACCTCTGTCCAAGGGAAAGCGGACATCCGCATCCGGGTGGCCATCCCACTCGACTACGAGACTGTGGACCGCTATGACTTTGACGTAAGCCACTCCCCCCCAAATCTCCTTGGGTTGGGTAGGGGACTTGGGGGAAGCAGGGGAGGAGCATGACATCATCTTCATGAATCCTGCCTGCCACGTCTCCCCATCTTCCCTGTGGATCTGATCCAGAGAAGCTCCCAGAGCAGCAGGGTTCTGGCTGGCCCTTCTCTCTGCAAGGAGGACAAGGATGTATCCAGGAATTGGGCACAGTGTCACCAGGTTCCGTGGCAGTCCCAGCTCTCATCTCCTGCCAGCCTGGCCCCATCACTCCTCCCCCAGAGCAAAACCAGTGGCAGCACTGGCCGCAGGGAGCAGGCATGGGACTCACGGCAACATAAACCTGGGGTGGGCGGGTACCTGCCCACATACAAGGAGGACTCATGGGGACATAGGCTCATGAGCAGGTGGGAGCTGACCTAACCCACACCCTGCTCCACAGCTCTTTGCCAATGAAAGTGTGCCCGACCACGTGGGCTATGCCAAGGTGAAGATCACCCTCATCAACGAGAATGACAACCGGCCCATCTTCAGCCAGCCGCTGTACAACGTCAGCCTGTACGAGAACGTCACTGTGGGCACTTCTGTACTAACGGTCCTGGTGAGTCCCTGCCACCTTCAGGGCTGTGAACTGTCAGGCAGACTGTGGACAGTGTCCAGGGGCATTCCCAAGGACACTGGGCAGTTAGGAGGTTGTGTGGGCTAATGTGCTAGAATCTGGATTCTCCAGGATGGCCTCACTTGGCCAGGACTACAGCATAGAAAAGGGCCAGACTGGAGGAGGGGATGCTTTGGTGTTCTTCCTTTTCCCTGAGGGGAAGTGAACCAGGGTGCCCCAGTGGGTGGGACGGGGTCCAACCATCTCTGAGGAGGGTGATGCTCCCTATCTGAGCACAGGCACCAGGACGGAGGGGACTCTTGAAGGTGCCTAGGCAACCCCCACTGTCCTTGCTAGGTTGTGTCCTTTAACAGGGGCCCCCACCTAGAGTCCATTTGTATCCGTCTTTCTCCCTCTGTCTCGCTCTCACTTTCTCTCTCTGTTGCAAAGGACAAAAGCCTTTAAGTGGTTCAAGCAAAAAAAAAAAAAAATCATAACTTGAAGGCATAAGTGATTTCAGGCCTGGCTGCATCCAGGCATTCCGCTGAGCAGGGGTCTGTCTGCAGCACCCAGCTCTGTCTCTGTGCTGGCTGACGGTACACCAGCAGCTCTAGGCTTGCTGTTTACCAGCTTATCAACCCAAATGGGGGAAACCAAATCTTTTGTGGTAGTTCCAGCCAAAGACCCAGAACTGATTCTCAGCTTGTTGGGTCATCTCAGAGCCAATGGTAAGGATTCAGATATGCCAGGAATAGGCCAGGTACTTCCCAGGAGATTCAAGGTTGGGGGCTGAGTCCTGTGCAAATTATGTGGGCTGCAAATGGGGAGGAGGCACCTATGAGAAAACTGGATTGGATGCCGAGTAGAACGAGGTGGTAGATGTTGCTCCACAAGCTCAAGGCCACGCACATACTATGTGCTCAGTAAGTGGCTCCTCCCCGTCTACCTATGGCTCCCAGAGCCCTTGCTGCCATTTCCTGCTCTAAACTGGCACTACCAGGCCCCCCGCTCTGAAGTGTGTTTACTCTGCAGGCAGATGGTGCAGAGCTGTGTGGAGCTCCAGGCCTTTCCCATCTGACAGTTATTAATATTTCAGACAGATGTTTAGCTAGTCAGGCCGTCAGACGTAGCAGCAAGTCTGCTGCTGCTGTTCTCCCCTGCCTGTGTCCCCAGCCTGTGGCCTCCAGCTTCTCCAGTGTGCTCCAGCAATACATCACCTGTCCCCAGAGGGCCCCTGCCTGCTGCAGCACCCCCAAATGTAGAGAAGGGCACCCTAGCCGCCTGCACTTGGGAGGCCTAGTGGGACCCAGAAGCTCCATCCCTCAAAGGTCAGAGACCGTGCAATGAAGAATGTGATGTGGGCCCCAGGCTTAGCTGTCAGGGGAGTCTGTCTTAGGGTTCTCATTTTGTACCCCTGAGTCTCACAGCCCTGGAAAAGAGCTGGGGACATCCACGGAGCAGGGGCAAAGTTAATGTGTAAGCACAGTGTGCCTTGGCTGGTGGCCTCACAGACAGGTGCATGGGGCTGCTCCAGCTGGCCCGGAGAGCAGGCAGAGGTGGGCATGAGCCCATCCCATCCCCCTAGGCTTTGTCAGAGCGGGAGCAGGCGCTGGGTCTGTTGGGAACCCACATGGCCTGTCTTGGTCCCACTGCTCCATGCAAGTGTCCCTTTATGTGAGCAGGTGAGCTCTGCCTTCTCAGGGCTGCCTAGGGCTCTGCAGAGCTACCAGATCCAGCCACCTGTGGTTCCCAGCTCCCCGCAGCCACACCTCACCTGCCTCCTCCTCAACCCACAGCCCCAGGTTCGTGGGCCGTGAAGCTGTGAAGAGTCATCACCCTGGTGATCAGCTCTGGCTTCCAGCCCCCCCACCACCTGAGCCCTGGCAGGTGGCAGGTGGGCCAGCCACACCCTACTTTGTCCCTGGGCCTGTCCATTCTCCACTTAGTCCTAGGTTGGCTTTCTCTCCACACTTATTGCCTCAGAGAGGCTGAAGTTAGAGCTGCCTGCTCAGGGACTGTGAAATTCCTTCTCCCTGACCTTTTCTAGGATGTTATTAAAATGTTTCATGGGCAGTTGTGTCTGGAAAAAAATTATAAAGAGAAGGAAGATGTTTTAATTTGTACAGAAGGCTAGAACAGAACCTGCTGTGAGGGGACTCCCCAGTCCCCACACTGGCGTGGCCCTGCTTTTGTGCCTGGTCACCTGTGCAGGGGAGGTGGCATTGGGACTTGGCACCAAGGGGAAACCAGCTGTCACTGCTAGCCTGGGCATCCCAGCTGGGTGCAAAAGCCAGACTGCTCACCTCCCTGCTCTGTGATACTTCCGGCCCCCAGTTACAGCAAGGGGAGAGGAAAGTGGGGGCTCGAGTTCAAAGGCTTGACCTTGAGCGCAGCTTGGCTTCTGGTTGACACCATGGGACTCAGGAACTGCTTCCCCTCTTAGCACCTGGCCTGTACCGCCAGGAAGATGGACTGTGGTGGGCCTGTGCCCAAGCTTACTGTCTGGGTGACCCCTGAGGCTGTGATGTTTGCTGCGGTACTGACACCGCTGCAGTCTCTGCCATCAGAGTCCTTGCTGGGAGCAGATGAGGAAACAGGCTCAGGGAGTTAAGTGACTTGCTCAGGGTCCGAGGGCTAGTAAGTGGCAGACCTGTCATGCACACAGACCCCAGAAGGCTGCCCTTGTGAGGCTGTGTGCTGGCCACCAAGGACCTGGGAGGAGCCGCTGCAGATCCCGGGGTAGGGTCACTCTGGCCACTGTGTCCTGGTGATATTCTGGACCCTCTGGCACCACCAAGTGAGTTTCTACCTCTCTGGAGCCAGAGCTGCAGGAGCATTTCTGTTGCTGGGGACTCCAGGTCAGGGAGACATGAGCACTTCACTCAAGGAACCAGGGTGCTTGTGGCAGCCCAGAGCTGTCCTGGGTAGGAAAGGCTGCCTGGAAGGTGGCAGGGGCAGGAGGGATGGCAGCAGAGTGTGGACTCTGGGGGTGTCTGCTGCGGAGATGGATGGGCAGGCTGTGCGGGAAGGGGGGTACGTTCATTCCATTACCGTAATGAAATCTTGAATATGAGATACGAAGAAAAGTATTTTATTTAATTCAAGGTTTTGAAGGCTGAAAGTCTAAGCCTGAGTCAGGGTCATCCTGGGAGGACCAGAATCCACTTGTGTTTTGTTTTGTTGTGATCTTTTTCTTTTGTGGTATTGGGGATTGAACCCAGGACTTTTGCACTGAGCTACATCCTGAGCCCTTTTTTATTTTTTATTTTGAGACAAGGTCTTGTTAAGTCATTAAATTGCCTGGTCTAGGCTTAAATTTGTGACCTTCCTGCTTCGGCCTCCCAGAGTGCTGGGTTTATAGCTGTAAGCCTCTGAGCCTGGCTTCAGATTCTGGCTTTACTGTGGGGTGAGCACTCTGGGATTTGGTTTCCTTTCTACCAAGTGAAAAACGTGCCTGCCCAGTGTCCCTGGGTTGTCCATATGCTGGGTGTGGTGACAGTGATGTACGTAGTTAACGCTTACGAATACGAAATGCAGCCTTAAAGGTCCTGTCTGGCTGTCTACTCCCTGTCATTGTGGGCCAGCTCAGGTCAGCCAGGGTGGGCCTTCGACAGGCCCCTAGGCCTCGGTTTTCTCCTCTGTGACAAAGGGGAGGTTGCGACAGTTGGCGTGGTTCGTGGAGACACACTCATAGCACAGAGCCCGGCCTGCAGCACACCCAGGAACTGCAGCTTGTCACACCCAACTTCCTGGCTGAGACCACCTGTCTGAGTGGCAACATCTCATCCCGGCCCTCCTCTGGGCACCCCCAGGCAGGGGACTGGGCTGGGCATTGCCTCTCTCAGGCCTCCTGTCTCCATGAGGCTATCATTCCAGCTTGCCATGCCTGGAGGGAAGGGCAGTCCCTCTTGCTGTTCAATTTCCCCCCACATGTGAGGTCCCCTCTTATCGCTGGCCTCCGGGACCTCCCAGCTGCCCTGGCCTCCTTCTCCAGTACCATCTAGAAATGTGGGGAGAGTCCCAAGGTCTCCATCATCCGCTCCTGGAGCCACCTAGCTTCCCTCCTGCCCAACCCAGGACCTCCCTGGCCCCCCTCCGGCCACACATCAGCAGGGAGCCCCACTGTACAATGCCAGTCAAGCTGCCCCTTGTGCTCCCCTGTCCCTCTCCCCAGCAAAGGCCACAGTGGCCAAAGGGAAGGCTGATTGTGAGGTTGTTGCTGCAGGGCCTGGCTCTGGGACCGCCTGGCACCCCTACACCATTGAACCCAAGCAGAGGAACTTGAACTGGCCCTGGTGATGTGGAAAGGCCAGCCCCCGCCTCAGTCTGGGGGTGTGCCCTGGGGCTCACCTTTACTCCTCCCTGACCCTCTGGCTCCTAGAAGAAGGGCATGTTGCCCTGAGACATGACAGAGACCTCTGGGCTGCATCCGCCACAGCAGGAAGCAAGGGTTCAAACCAGGGCCAGGCTCAAAGCCTGGCCTGCTGCTTGCTGTCTCTGTGACACTGAGCAGTTGCTTCAGTGTGTCCTGACCCCGAGTCTTGAGTGCAATAATAACACTTGTCCCTTCCCTGACTGAGAGAGGAGGGGCCCCCAAGGTCCCAGTGTGCTAGGAGGCCTGGGTAAGTGACAGCTGTGCGGCAAATTCCATTACCGTTGCTGTCACCCACATGGAGGTTTGGTCCATCTTTGCCAGGCTGCAAGCGAATTCAGGGTGCCAGCTCTTACAGCTGGTCTCCCGGTTCTTAGATTCCCTGCTTTGGCTCTGACTTTCCAGAGCCTGGACCTATGCCGGGGTCCATGTTCCGCAGTCATCATCTGGAATTCTGAGCTATTGTTGGTGTTGCACCGGGTCCCGCAGAGCACATAGCTCACCTCAGCTGCAGGAGTTTTATAATTAATTCTCTGCTCGGAGAAACTCGGTGGCTGCCCATGGTTTTATCCATTCTTCATCCAACAACAGCAAACACTTACTTTGTGCCTGCCCTGAATGAGGTGTGGCC